TGAAGTCGTAAAAGGTATTGTATAGATATTATAATGATTTTAAATAACAGCGAAATCTTGTTTAATCCCAAAAGAGAGCGTCGTCACAATAAATATACTAAAATTAAAGCAATAAATCAAAATATTTCTTCACTTCAGCAGTATTAAAATAAAATGGCGGAAATGGGAAATTAATTCTAAAATATTATCATTTTCCGACCCTCGTCTAGAATTATTGTGTTAATATATTGTCAATACTACAATTTTACATAATTGAACTCGTAGTTAGTACAAACGTGTTACTAATTTAATAATCTTAAAGCACAAGCTGTGCTCGGTTTTCATTTTAAACTTTTAAACACATAATATTAAAGTCATGTCTACTGTGAGTGCCAATTTATGTCTATTTTGTTGGATTTGATTTCTGATGCCGTCATCTTTTAGTGTATACGGTAAACCTGAGAAGAATATAATTCTTAGTTAAAAATACAACAGTCTTAAAACATCTTATTACATGGAAAAATTAATTTGTAAATGTTGCCCTAACAGTAAAAAATTATAGTTACAACTGTAATTTTTTGATAAATAAATTTGCTTTTTGACAATGTTGATTGGTTTGTTCTTAAAGTATCTAGCAGACGATATAGATTGATAATGGAATGGTGCACCCGTATGCGCTAACGGTTTGCGCTGGCGGGGCACCAGTGGAGGATGATAAGAAGCATGAGGTCAGGTCAGTTAGCACATTGTGACAAATTCATCAGGAATTTAACACGATGGTTTCCAGTGGGAACCGCGTGGAGGTCGACCTGACATGGTACATTGCTAGCAATGGAGTTATGAGTTACTAACAATACTAAACAATCCCCTTCCCGCTGCATCTGGTATTTAAGTAGATAGTTAAATACATACTCTAAACAATTGGTCAAAGAATAAAGTTGTTAATGTTTGACGTCATAGTGGGCTTGGTGAGGGCGTGATTTATTACGAAATTGTTCAAATCGTGAACACGACTCGTGTTGACATGTGGCCGTCTACGCTTCGCCTAATTGGTTTCCAGCACTTGATGTCGCATATGATGAATTTCGCTCATTTCACAGAATACAAGAGATTATTTTTTACCTCGAAATTCAAAATTTGATTTTAAGGTCAAGTATCTGCTCATACACTAGTATAATAAGACCTAAAGTAACTTGACATTGAGGGTGCTGGAATCAAGTTATAACGCGAGCTTCAAAGCGTTCGTGGCCCTGGTCCCCACCAACATGCTGCCCACCATCATGAAGGAGGACTACTGGCCGAACGGTGTGGTGTATCAGCGCTACCGTGGTGGATTGCTGTCGTCAGTGTTGTGACCACACACACAATTTATATTATACTGGCTGTACGCGACTTCGGCCGCGTAGAATTTAACATTATTTTTCTAAAATAAAAATAGCCTGAGTTACTCTTTGTTTCATCAGCTACCTGACAAAAAATCCCGTCAAAATCGGCCCGGCCATTTCAGAGATTAGCCTGAACAAACAGACAGACAAAAATTGTAAAAAATGTTATTTTGGTGTATGTACCGTATTTATATTCATATGCATGTAGTAAAAAACGGTTATTTCAATATTACAAACAGACACTCCAATTTTATTTATATGTATAGATTATATTGTTTCTATTAATATTGATATCATTCATATGTATGTTGGTCTGTAAAGTATTTATAATATGGGCCATTAGAAACCTGAATTAAATAAATTAATAATGTTATATATATATATATAAATGATTTGAATTAGATTGAGTTCAGTACACAATGTGATACAACTGTACAAGCTATGACATCACTCATTACAAGATCAATGCGACCATTTCTCCTAGTCCAGACTGATATAATCGTTTGTTACACGCACAGTACGGCCGCCCTTCCTACAATTCAAATTCCAAATATCTTCATTCATGTAGGTCTATTACAGACTCCTATGATATGTCAAATCTACCGTCAGTTCGGAGTGATTTCGAGATGAGAACTGACAAGAAACTCAGCTCGTATTCTTTTCAATTAAATGTTGTACATGTTTACAATAATACAGATTCATTTATAAATTCAAACTTGGGTGAATAGAGTGAATAGAGTGACCACCAGCATATGCCATTGCAAAAGTAAAGTCTAATCAGTGTTCGTAACCCGAACAGATGTACCTGCGGATACTTAGCCCTAGTTTTATTTTTATTATCCATAAATAACTCCATACAACGGTAGATTATTAACATGTTCAGCTTTTAACTGTTAGTAAAAATATTTTACTACTAGCTGCGCCTGCGGTTTCACCCGCCTGAAATGTATACTCTACATGTTATTCTGATGTATAAGCTATATTACTGTAAAGTTTCATCAAAATTCGTTCAGTAGTTTTTGCGTGAAAGACTAACAAACATCCGTACTCACAAACTTTCGCGTGTATAATATGATATTAAGATTTCTAACAACCATATTTAATGTTTTTCTTTCATTTTGATTCTTAAAGATTTATATGTCTACATTTGGTTCAACTCTAAACTTATAACTTAGTTTTACTTTCATAATAAACTATAGAGACCTCGGTGGTCCAGCGCTTTAGCACATCGATTTACGTCCCGGGTTCGATTCCTCGCACGGCACAAACATTTGTATTCATGAGTATGATTGTTTGTATCGGTCTGGGTGTTTTCTATGTATAATATGTATCTATTTACAAAAATAAAATTATCAATGTATTTGTATCAGTTATCTAAACCCCATAACACAAGCTTTAGCTAACCTAACTCGGGATTAGAATGTCTAGATGAATGAGTTGTCCTGAGATTATTGTTGTTAACTATTACATGAAACTAAATGTAATATTTGCAAGTTCTCTATATTTGGACTTGCATAATATGGTAAGACTGCTTACTTACATTCCTATTTAATGACATGAGGGAGTGTGAAGTATAACTTATATGTGGTATAACAGAGTTGCCAACCGTCCTGTTTTCCCAGGATATGTCCCAGTTTTCGAAGTGTCCTGGGAAGTCCTGAATAGTTATTCGTCAGCGTTCTGGATTTTTAACATATGCGTGCCTCTTAATTACTGATTGTCAACAGTATAATTTTATTAAATGCTTTTTATTAAAAACCTGATTATATTAATTACTTGAATTTACTACATATTAATATAACTATTGCAACACTATTACTGCGTTCTGTTTTTAAACTGGATAGTCCTGGTTTTTTGAACTTTCAATAATTTCGATGATTTTTTTTTAAATGTGGGTTTGACAACCCTAGTATAAGTAAACATTTTGGTAATATATAAAATTAGTTTTGGTGTTACAAATGTCTAGAGTGCCTACTTAAGTTGTCGGTGAGAGAGTTAAGTAACGTACGTTCTTCTTGCACTCGTTGTCATTTAGACATGATGCAATCTAAATAAATAGTTACCAGCTTTTTAATAACTATTTTTATTAGGTCACCTACTTACTTTTTTAAATTTCTTAATCTATTTCTGAAATATCGGAAGACACTCAAGACGCTTTTACCTAAATGTCGTTTAACTAAATTTAGTAATTCGTTTTATGGTAATTGCGTAAGGTTTTACAACAAAATACCAGAGTCTGTTATAAATCTGCCAGAAAAAAGATTTCAATGTCATATAAAACACTTCCTTTGTTAAAAAGCTTACTATAAAATTGAAGAGTTAGTTAACGATAATAATGTTTTACAGAAAAACATAAAATCCATAGCACTGACAATATTATCTGATTGCACAAAAAATGAGTGCGTAGCGGTTTCTATGTTGATTATCGCATGCCTCTTACTTGTTATTGTATAATTATTTATATAAAAAAAATCTATTCGAAAGAGCAATACACAAGTTTCTTACTCATTCTTCTTGTGATTAATCTGCATTCCGAATGAGTGGTAGAATCAAAATATGACTATTCAAAAGTGCTTGTAATGAGTTTATTTGAATAAAGATTATTTCTATTTCTATTTCAAGACACCAAAACAGCAGCGTTATTTTTAACGCTATCAAATTAAAACCAAAATTACTACCAAATAATTTAACATCTCACCTAACATTTCATTTACCGTTTTGTTATATTAGAATTAAAATGGACCTTATTAAAGAGCCTATATGTTCACATTTTGTTATGTTATTTCGATACAACCACACGTAATGCTTAATATGCAGTTTAATCAGTTAAGTGCATCTAATTTAGTGCAAAATTAAGATGAACTAGCTCGCATATAATTTAATTTTGACGGCATGCCTTCAGAAATATTAAGATAATATATTTCACTAAAATATATTAAAAACCACTTCCTAGGTTTTAGGTAACGCAAACTCCAGAATAGTGCCAAAATATTTATTATCAATGCAAAATATGTAAGATTTGTTTGCACTAGTAAGTACTTTCACTGTACTAACATATTGTTATTTACAACTTCAATTACTTATTCAGAATGCTAGACTTATCTTGATAACGTCCAAGGTCTAGATAACTCTCTGGATTGATTATTTTTTGTTGCATTTGTAATCCGGTATGGATTTATTTTGTGGACATCGGCTTTGTGATAATTATTAACGGGAAGCTAGGTACTTTATTCGTACACCGACCGATTTTTTATAGTCTTATTGATATCTTATAATGAATGGTAGATATTTACGATCGTTATGGCTGTACAAAGGTTACAAACTGTATTTGATACTTTTTTCACTTCAGCAGATTATACATTTCTTGACTTTATAAGTGGGTTAATTGGGAGGCCTGTAACACTTCGTGTTGTGCTCATGTATTCGAGTTAGCTCCAAACTATTAATATTTTATTATTATAGGAACGTAGAACTAGGGCCACTAAGTTCATACGTACTCACATTAAGGTAAAATATTAAATCTTTAGTGCTAAGTTTGACTAGCGTTAATTAGTATAGGTATTATTAAATTCACTTTGAGTTCCTTTGTTTCTTGTACACTAATCTTGCTACACTGTATGTACACTTTCCGCTTACCTGTTATGAACTATCCGAAAAATGGTTATATGTGTAACGTCGCAGCATGTAGGCGAGCCCACAGTTGTGGGTCGGATAAGATTCGTTTAGAAAGCACAAAGTGTAGGGGCACAGGCACTAGCGGCCGACCGGCACCACGTCGTGAACCGGCTTCTACAATAATGCACTATTTATTTGTACACAACACTACTGACGGCACACTCCACTGCAAGAAATCACCGCACAATAATTCCAGGGAATCGTAACACAAACTGAAACTTCAACATTCACTCGCGATCCGAGTTAATTTCGAGCGATTGTAAGTTACGGTGCGCGGGGAACAAATCGTGCAGCACAAAATACGTATAACACCGATAGCTGCCATCGGCTGACTGGCTGGACTGCAATAGTGAGCTGTAGGAAGACCGGTTGGCGGGGTGAGGCGGTGGGGCGCGCGGGGGTGTGCGCGGCGCGGCGGAGGTCGCGGGGCGGGGCGGGGGGAGGGAGGGCTCCCTCAGCGCGCCCTATAAACTTGCTTTCTGCCTGCTCTCATATCGCGAGCAGGCTGGCCGGCTGGTTCGTGCAGTTTTGTGAAAGGCGAATTATTTGCATGTTGCATCGTCCGTAGTGCGGCAGGCAGGTATACTGGCCCATATCTACCTGAGTCGTTTGAATGCACCATTCACCGGTCCCGAGTTTACTGGCAGTGTTTGGGTTATAGATACTGCTGTTAACAATTAAGTAAATACCTGTAACAATCAGTTGTATACTAGACTTACTTATTTTTAATTGAGTTGGATGTCCACTCCATCCTGCAATTAGGGTTGCCAACTTTTTTTGACAAAGATAGGTATGTACTGGTTTCGATAGGAAAAAAAAAGTGTTTTTCAAACTTTTTTTTTAACACTAGAGCTGTGACGAATGTCACAAGTAGTCACAGTTCACAATTGACATCTAACATTTCGTTCAGTAATTATAAATCGTTAAGTACCCATAATGAGTATTTTATTTTACGCATCACAGTAAAGGTTGAAAATACAATATTTTTGCATACTTTATGTTAAAGTATAATTACCAAAAATAAAGTAAACGTATCCTACGTTATATAAAGTATGGTTGGCAACCCTATCTGTAATTACGATTTTTTTTTAATTGCGTTTGGCTCTACTGCTGTATATTAGCTGGCTATGTTCAGCAAAAGTGTTAAACCTATGCTTCCAGATCTGAAGGATAAAATTTTCTGATGATATTTCGTTTGAAAGCAAAACGTTTCTCGATTCGGGTAGTCTGCTGAGTGTTCAAGACTCAGGTCCACGCTTCCGAGCGTCGATCAATAAATTGCCTGATGATGCATCGTTTAAACCTAAGTGTATAAACTTCATAACGAGGGCAAAATGAAAATCTGAATATTAATAAACAAAGGCATAATACTCGTACAACTGAAATTTTTTTAAATATTAAATTAGCCTAATTTACTCCTTATTACATCAGCTACCTGCCAATAAAAGTCCCGTCAAAATCGGTCCAGCCATTTCAGGTATTAGCAGGAACAAACAGACAGACAAAAATTGTAAAATATGTTATTTTGGTGTATGTACCGTATTTATATCATATATATATAAAATTGAATGAGAGATTTTTTTTTTAATTAATTTTATCCATTTTTTTTAATATCTTAATAATATTTTAAACTCCAAAGTTTGTGAGTATGGATGGATGTTTGTTACTCTTTCATGCAAAAACTACTGAATGGATTTTGATGAAACTTTACAGTGATATAGCCTAACTTATATATTATTCTCTCATTGTCCTTTCAGTTCGCAACTGTATTGAATATATTTTACTATAATATTATATAGGTGTTTTCATCATACAGACACACATACAGTCCACCGATCCATTACAGCTAGCATATTATAATTCTTCTCTTATTTATCATTAAGATGTAAATAGGAACAGAGGACCAATAAAGAATTACACGGATGAACTTAACTGTTGAAATGCTTTAAAAGATTAATTTAGTTAAATTTTTGAATGAAAGTGGTGCCCACGCAGGCTTGGTGCCCTTTCGCTGTTCAAGTCACAATGTATTCAATGTATGTATGTATGTGTTGGGTGAGTGTGGTCAGCAGTAAAGCGATATGTGCGTAGGTGGATGCTAGTGTCGAAATATTGATCGTGTTTTCTTTCGCAAGAGAAGAGAAACGTAAGTAGAAATAAATAATAATAATAATAATCTCAGGACAATTCACACAGCTTCATCTAGACTCAAGTTAAGAATAGAATAGAATAGAAAATCATTTATTCAAATAAACTTACATTGAAGCACTTTTGAGTAGTCATTACATTTTTTAATCTACCACTCGTTCGGAAAGCTGTCTCATCACAAGAAGAACGAGCAAGAAAGCTTGTGTGTCGCTGCTGCTGTGTAAGCTAGCTAAAGCTTGTGTTACATTGTTAACTGTTACATATACATAGATATTGTTTTATAAATACATACATATTATACATAGAAAACAACCAGACCGATACAAACAATCATACTCATGAATACAAATGTTTGTGCCGTGCGAGGAATCGAACCCGCGACCATCGGTCGTTGAGCGGTGTGCTAGACCGCTAGACCACCGAGGTCGTCAATACAATATAAATACAATTAAAGTGTCTGTGTATAACTTAAAACTAAGAGCTTTTAGCTAAATGCATTTTCATATGCATTTAGCTATAAGCTAAATATATACGGTACATATAATAAAAAAATACAAATTATTTGTTTAACATTCTGTATATTCTTAAGCTAGGTACTTGTATTTTAGAAATTTCTATTATTTTAATTTTAAAAAAGTTAAATTCCACGCGGATATTGTACTGGATAATGGCTAGTCTATACATATAAATAAAATTGGAGTGTCTGTTTGTAATATTGAAATAATCGTTTTTTACTACATGCATATGAATATAAATACTGTACATACACTAAAATAACATTTTTCGTGTGTCGGTCTGTTTGTTCCGGCTAATCTCTGGAATGGCTAGACCGATTTTGACGGGACTTTTTTTGGCAGTTAACTGGTGTAATAAGGAGTAACTTAGGCTACTTTAATTTCAGAAATAATCTTTTAACTTAGAAAATAAAGTTAAATTCCACGCGAACGAAGTCACGGGAACAGCGTAACGTAATAATTTACGGACTACTAATTAATGTTAATTATCTGATATATGATATTACTAATTATTTCATACAGTGGTCGGAATCATTTATAATGTATGTAAAACCTTAATATAAATGAATTATTCAATTATATGAAGAGTGATTGATGCAAGCTCTTTGCACATTTTTATATGTTTACTTTTCTATCAATTTTAAATGTATTTTATTTAGAACTAGCTACTCGCTCCGGCGTCGCACGGGTGTACATGTATTATATATATAAACCTTCCTTTAGAATCACTATCTATTTAAAAAAACCGGATCCAAATCCGTTGCGTAGTTTTAAAGATTGAAACATATATAGTGAGGGACGGACAGCTACAACGACTTTATTGTATGCTATGTAATGATTGTGATATATTTTTATTGTCACTTTTTGCCTTACAACCGTTTGTACACTTCATTATCTTCATTATAAGTATTTACCATTTTCTATCCATTGTTTGATTTACATCACGCGTACAGTCCACTCATTCCATCTCCCACAGTGATCTCTACATTTTTTATTTATTTATATAGAAATAAATAAATAATAAATAAATCTCTACATTATTGAAAGTATTCCTGGATATTTACCACCAACAAGTGTAAGAAGCACTTATTATGACGGACGACTGAGGCTTTGAAGTCAGCTACCGCAAGGGAAACCCCAAGTAGTGCCCGTGACTTGTGACACGGGTGTAGGTTTAAAAGGCTCTTTTAGAATCCATTAACACTCACCTTCACTACCTGCAGCTTCCCGCCAGGTCCAACTAAGATCGGGATAAACCTATTCCTAATACAATTCACTTTAGTATCCAAAACACAACCGGCACGCTCTGCACTCGTCGACTGAATGCCGCGGCTCATCCAACCAAAGAGGATTATTCAACTACCGACCTCCGAAGTCAGTGTAGTAGGTTGGTCTATAAATACTAGATGGCGCTATTTACAATATTCGTAATAATCCTTACATTGGGTACTTCATTAGTACTAAAAACAAACTACCTTCTTTTAATATATTTTTAAAATATCGGATTTTTACTACAATAATGATGTGAATTCTAACACAAGAACTTACTAATATTTTATTTAAATTTCTAAGCGGGTGAAGTCGCTGCATCATCACTATGGTTGATCATCTCGTGTAGTTGCCAAATAAGGAGATGACAACAATTTGTATCAGTACCTTTTTAAATCGCGTTAAATTGGACACCGAGCGGTGACTCTACCGGTGCGCTTACAGAGACCACTGGCCTGGCCATATACGTAAATTTTTTATACCACTATGGTGGCAAACAAGAATATAGTCCATCTGATGGTAAATAGCTACCATAGCCTATGGATGACGGAAACACCAGGTGTCACGTGCGCGTTGCCGACACTTAAGAAACCTTAATATACCCTTCTTGAAAAACCCCATGCTGTAGTCTCGTGAGAAAATCTCATCAGGTAGTTCATTCCACAATGAAAGTGTACGCGGGAGGAAGCTCCTCTGAAACCGCACTGTGACATACATTCATTCCGTAACTTTTGCTTTGTGTTTATTTAAATTAAGTATAATAACGGGGCCATCAATTTGTGGAACTAACAGATGAGATAAACATGGGTTTTGGACGCGTCACTCTAAATTAAAACTGCTACTACTCTGTACAATTGAACCAATAAAGTCTTGATGACGAGTCATGGGTTACCAGTGCAATATTCCGTATATTTTGCTGGTCTCGTTCCTGCGGAGGATCCCCGCGGAGCGTGCACAGCACGACAGTGAGCAGACGGTTATATTCCGAAGGAAAATTTATTGCTTTTATGATCCCCTCGAGATACGCAGAATTGGATAACCTACTCCCCCTCAAGAATTTTTGTGTTTCATTACTCGGTTCAATCGTTTCCCTGTTCGTAGGTACTTTGTTTTGCAATTATATTGTGCATCTGTGTCTCTATGAATCATAGTAGAGTCTGTAAAATCCTTAGCGGGATAGAAATAATTGACAATAAGAGCAAAAAGTGCAATTTAGAAAGTTGTAGAAGAATGTAGTAAGCAATTAAAATAAAAATAATACGCATAAAAATTATTCTCTGCACCACCTATGGTTGACTGGTAGAAAATGCCGCATGGTGTTAAGTCCGCCAAATGTACTGTACTATATATTGTATTGTGTGCATTGAAGTTGAATAAAAAAAACCTTATTTCGGAAAATTTAGATACAGTTTGTCTATGACCCCTCACTAGCACACTAGGCTATGCTTGTAGCGTGGAAGTGAAAGAAAATGAACTTAACATTGGTACGGCGATAAGAGATAATAGTAATATTGCATGTTTGAGTTTGTAGTGCGTGAGTGTAAGAGAATAGTGTCTGGAAATATTGTTATGTGTGTTTATTACAATGTCTCAGAACGGCCCATTATGTTTTAAATAATATTTCAGTTTTTAGTATTTTCTGAGCGTCCTCATGTGTCCAGGAGATCAGTAAACTGCAAAGGAGTGTTTAAAAATTGTTCATAATAACCTATAGAATAGAATAGAATAGAAAATCATCATTTCAAATAAACTTAAATATTAATATGCGGTTTAATATCCTCTAATGTTAATATAACTTAATTGTAAAACTAAGAACCTAAAATTAAAAAGCTTAAAAAATATAATATACTAACTAAAACTAAAAATAACTTAAATTAAGCACTTTTGAATAGACTTAACAATGTTTTTTTTTTAATCTACCGCTCATTCGGAATGCTGTCTCATCACAAGAAGAACGAGCGAGAAACTTGTGTGTTGCTCTTTTAAATAATCCTTGTAACTTTACATTTTACAAGTCGAAACGTGTGAATACAAATGACCAATCATCACTAATTTATTAGGGTCAAATATAAATACACAATCAGTCGTAGTGATAAGAGCAGACCAGACCTTACAAGCAGCACTCTTTCACGAGTATGACGGATGAGCCAGCCATCACTGTGCTCGACCATATTTTAGGGAGCCCAATGTTACTATAGTTTACTTAGTCCAAGTCGGGAGGCAGGCTTATTAGACAAGTGGCGGGTGGCGCATTTGCTAGTGTATAGTTAGAGGTAGAGACAGCAAACGAGAGTGCCAATTAGACAGATGGTGAGCGCGCCGGTTTGTGGCCGAACAAATTATAGCACAAACTATGTACACATAGCTACACTTTATATATGTAGCGGGTTCCAGCCACTTCTCACAAATTAGCCAATTGAGCGTCACGGAATTGAACGATATATTTGTATGAAATATTGTACACTAACATTACCATATTATTAACTAGCTACTCGCCCCGAATTCGCTCGGGTGTACATGTATTATATATATAAACCTCCCTCTTAAATCACTTTATCTATTAAAACTCCGGTGCGTAGTTTCAAAGATTAAAGCATACATAGGGACAGACAGCGACAGCGACTTTGTTTTATACTAGTTTGCGAGTATGGATGTTTGTTACTCTTTCACGAAAAGCTACTGAATGTATTTTGATAAAACTCTTAACACTTAGGGATATAAAAATTAGTAAAAGTTAGAACATAAAATTTCATCAAAATTGGTCAAGCCGTTTCGGAGGAGTATAAACACGAAACCTGTGACACGAGAATTTTATATCTTAGAAGATTAACGGAACAATCGAATCATATAACATCGATCGTAGAAGGCAAAACGTTAAACAAGCGCATGGTAACATAAAAAATATTATAAAATTTTAAATATTTAAAATTAAAATTGACAATGCCATTCATGGTAGTCAGCGACCCGGGTATACCCGAACCACTGGCTGGCATGTATTCATGTATTCCGACATGGCATAGTCTGGATGTATTCAGGAGTTCTGTACACATATATATAGAAGACTTTCAGTAGACATTACCTCAACTCAAACAAAGTAACTGTACAAGTGTGAGGTGTGCACGTTGTGGCCGGCCGGGCGATGTGCGGCTGCGGATAATTAGAGGAGAGAGCAGGCTTCATTGATTTGTAGAAACTTTCAAACTGCGCGAAAGATGTGTATATATCAACCATATCAGCTCTAATACTTTGACTCTGTGAAATTTAGAAACATGCTAGCAGTTCTCATACGTTTTGTGATCATCATCATTATCATCTCAGCCTGGAAGACGTATACTGCTAAACAAAGGCCTCTCCAAAAGATCTCCACGACGATCGGTCCTGCGCTGCTCGCATCCAACGCCTACCAGCGATCTTGACCAGATCGTCGGTCCAGCTTGCTCTTGCTAGAAGCCTTCCCACGCTGCGTCTTCCGGTCCGCGGTCGCCACTCCAGGACTTTACTGCCCCATGGGCCATCTGTCCTACGAGCTATGTGCCCTGCTCGTAAAACGGTGTACTAAATCGCTAGACCACCGAGGTCGTCAATATAGCTACTATAGAAACAAAAATAATATACGTCAAGGATATGTAGAGATTTAAGGAAAAATATCATCATGAAATCACTGATATTAAAATCTTTAGTGCAGATGAAGGTCATGTATTAGATTAGTTGGCAAATGTTACTAATAGTGTTACATCATGGACCTCCAGAGTTCCAGATAGGCAATATATTCCACTAATTACAATATATTAAACCAATTTAAACACTAACGAAGTATCATCCGCAAATAACACTATATCTGCAACTTTCTCTACCATGCAGGGAAGGTCATTTATATAAATTAAAAAGAGAAATGGGCCTAAGACTGAACCTTGAGGAACGCCCATTTTAATATTAGTTCCCTTAGACTTACACCATCAATATCTATAGTTTGGATCCAACTTCCGTTATTTGTAGAATTAGATATACCTCCTCGTTTATTGGATTAATGTGCTTTTCTACACTATTATCTATTTGTTGACAGCGCAGCGCATTTTCCAAGGAGCTTTCATAATAAGTGTACAAAATTAAATTTCGCTTTGAAATTTCTGCAAGAGTATGAGAGCAGTCCATAGACTAAGTGGTTAGCAGTTCTCAGTCCGTAGTCTGTATAATTGTCTGTGACATATTACATTGACGACCTCGGTGGTCTAGCGGTCTAGCACATCGCTTTACGACCGATGGTCGCGGGTTCGATTCCTCGCACGGCACAAACAAGTTTGTATCGGTCTGTGTGTTTTCTATGTATAATATGTATTTATTTACAAAACAAATATTGAAGTATTTATATCAGTTGTCTAGTATCCATAACACAAGCTTTAGCTAGCTTAACTTGGATCTAGATTGCGCTGTGTAAATTTTCCTGAGATTATTTATTAACAATATTTATCAAACTCATGTAAGTTTGATAAATATTGTTTACTGTGTTACCTATATTATTTTTGAAACTTCTGTTTATCCTTTTACATACGGTCGACGGTCTTTTTTTCCGGACAATCTAATGCTGTTGTCCGCAGCTGGCCATTACAGCTTCACCGGACGATAGGGGGCGAGTGCAGATGGCACTCCAAACCAAAGGAAGGACTTATGGAGCGACTGAAGGCCAACTCCCGCCTGACGGATACGACTTTAGTCTGAGGGCACCGCTAGGGGTTCGAACCTCGGCTCAGGCCGTCGGAATGTCGATTCCCGCTTTAATTGGACGGGGGATCGATCGGAGTAGGTATGGTCGACTAAAAGACCAAGTTGTCTCGTGCACGTTGCCGACCCTTAAGAAACCTTAAAATACCTTACTTTAAAAACCTCATGCTGTTGTGTCTCTCGAAACCTTTTGTAGAATTTAATATAAATATACTACTATTGTTTCATATTTCGACTTAATTGGAATGTCTTTTACAGGGTGAGTACGGTGCATTGTGTTACCTACTATGGAGTTCATAGACTAACAATTTAGTGTGTGACAGCCCTGGTCTGTTCCATTATGAAACAGATTTATGAAGATTTGTAAACATCGTGTTATCTATATATGGTATATAAATACAATTGGAGTGTCTGTTTGTAATATTGAAATAACCGTTTTTTACTACATATGAATATAAATTCGTATATGTACATACACCAAAATATAATTTTTACAATTTTTGTCTGTCAGTCTGTTTGTTCCGGCTAATATCTGAAATGGCTGGACCGATTTTGACGGGACTTTTTTTGGCAGGTAGCTGATGTAATATGGAGAACTTAGGCTACTTTTATTTAGAGAAATAAAGTTAAATTTCACGCGGACGAAGTCGCGTGTATAGCTAGTATCACATACATATGTGGTGTGTAGTGATGTGATTACACACATTAGAGACCGGATACTGATCGTCTTATCAACCAAATAATCTTGGTAGTAAGTAGCGGTGTGGACTGGCATGGCGGCGCCGCGCGATACCGGCCGCGGCCCCATGTACGTACGTACTCTCTATGAACACACACCGCTCCTTTAATAATATATAATATATAGACGGACTCGGTGGTACAGCGGTTTAGCACACGTCTCACTTCCGATGGTCGCGGGTTCGATTCCTCGTACAGTACAAACATTTGTATTCATGAGTATGATTGTTTGTATCCGTCAAGATGTTTTGTATGTATATTAGGTATGTATTTACAAATTAAAATCTATGTATTTATATAAATTGTGTTATAAGGGTGGCGCTCGTTAGGCAAATGATAGGCATGACCAACATTTGTATTTAAGAGTGCTATTTGTATGTATTGGTCTGAGTGTTTCTATGTATATTATGTAAGTATTTAAACTGGCTTAAAAAATGGATTTCAGTTGAGTTCGTTGTCAGTTCTTCTAAATTAATTATGTATGCTGAACTAGACGGTACGGTAAATATTAATACAATA